TGGACTATTATGAAAGACTGTGTGAAGCTTATTGCATCTACACCCCCTTCAGTCCTGAGTCACCAGGGAGCCAACAAATGGTCAACACCTCATTCATGGCCCAAGCCACCCCAGACATCAGACAAAAGCTCCAAAACTTAAAGGCTTTGCTGGGATGAATACCACTCAGCTGACTGAAATTGCTAACAAAGTATCTAAACAGAGAAGTTCAGGCCGACAGAGGGGCTAAAAGAAGAATGAAGAAAAAGCCAGCCTCCTGGCAGCTGCCCTAAAAGAAAGAAATGACCAAAAGGCAGCAGAGAAAAGCTGACTGCCAGAGGGGTGAAGCCCAGGACCCCCCTAGCCAGGGACCAGGGTGCTCACTGTGAAGAGAAGAGGCACTGGAAGAATGAATGTCCTGACCGAGGCAAAGCCCCAAAGCCCAGTCGCTGCCAGGAGGAGCCCCCCGGGGACAGGCTCACTGGCCTGAGGAGCAGACTCAGGCTGACAAGGACCAGGCTTTCTCACGCTCGGCCTCCATGAGCCCACGGTCAGAATGAAAGTGGGGGGCCAAAACATGACTTGTGTGGTTGACACAGGGGCAGAAGACTCTGTGGTCATCCTCCCTGTAGCCCCCTTCAGTAAATAGACTACAACTATCCTCAGAGCCCTTGGGACAAAGGCAGTCCAGCAACACTTCTGCCAAGCCCACAAATGTGAACTTGGAGGCCACAAGGCCTGACATGAGTTTCTCTACCTGCCCGAGTGCCCCATTCCCCTCCACAGCCAAGATGTACTCTTGAAGCTCGGAGCCCAAATAACTTTTGAACCAACTGGACACACCAGCCTCAAACTAAACCCAGGCCAAGAAGAGCTAGGGTCCCTTGTACTGGCAATAACCACACCCAGGGAAGAGGAGTGGAGGCTGTTCTGTGCCCAGACCCTCTCAAGTAGCCCACCTGAATTCACAGCTGCCTTCCCCTTGGTATGGGCTGAAGACAACCCACCTGGACTTGCTCATAACCGAGCCCCTGTCATTGTAAAATTGGCTCCAGGAGCCCAGCCACAGAGACAGTGTCAGTACCCCCTCTCACAAGAGGCGAGAGCAGGCATCCAGGAACACCTGATCAGAGTCAGAGAGGCAGGCATTCTTACCGGGTGTCAGTCGCCCTGGAACACCCTGCTTTTACTAGTCAAAAAGCCAGGAGGAGGGTACTGCCCTGTTCAAGACCTGTAAGCCATGTCTCAAACCCGTACACCCTCCTCAGCCAGATCCCGGGGTCTGCCAAATGGTTCACTTGCCTAGACTTAAAGGAAGCCTTTTTCTGCCTCCAGCTGGCCCCCCCAGAGCCAGCTTGTTTGCCTTTGAATGGACTGAACCGGATATGGAGCGGCAGATGCAGTTAACATGGACATGGCTTCCACAAGGGTTCAAGAACTCAACCACTCTCTTTGGAGAGGCATTAGCCGCAGACCTCACAAGCTTTCTGAGGGAAGCCACGCACCCTCCTCCAGTACATATATGACCTCCTCCGTGCCAGTAATACCCAAAAGAACTGTGCAGAAGGCACAAAGGCCCTCCTGCAATTCCTGTCAGACTCAGGATATCGAGTCTCATGGAAAAAGGCACAAACCTGCCAGCAGTGAGTCTGGTACTTGGGCTTCCTCCTCACCTAGGGAAGAGGGTTCTAGGGATAGAGAAGAAAGAGTCATTATCTCCTTACCCCAGCCCCAGATGAAGAAAGGCATACGAGAATTCCTGGGGGCTGCACAATTCTGCTGAATCTGGATTCCCAGATTTTCAGCAATTGCAAAACCCCTCTACAGCCTTCTAGGGGGGCCAGATTGAGACTCCTTTCTGGACAGAAAAGGCAAAAGCCGCCTTCCTGAAAATAAGGCTGCTTTAGGACAGGCACCAGCCCTAGACCTGCCAGATATTTAAAAAAGCCCTTCAATCTCTTCATACATAAAAAGGAAAAAGTGGCTCTCAGGGTTCTCACACACTGTTGGGCCCTGGCAGCAGCCAGTCACACACCTGTCAAAGAAACTGGACCTGGATGCGGCAGGATGGCGGCCCTGCCTCAGGGCGCTGGCAGCCACAGTTCTATTCATTAAAAAAGCAAATAAGCTTACCCTGGGACAAGAACTAAATGTCAAGGTCCTCTGTGCTGTTGTGTCCCTAATGAACACACAGGGCACTGCTTCCTCTCCAACTCTTGGTTGGCACAATATCAAGGGCCCCTATGTGAAAATGCATGGGTCACGCTTAAAACAGTATGGACACTAAATCCAGCAACTTTCCTCCCCACCAAAGAGGAGAAACCAGATCATAACTGCTCCGAAGTAACTGACAAAGTCTACACAAGTCTTTGCAGGATCAAGCAATACAAAATCCAGAACTCACACTATTCAGTGATGGCAGCAGTTACCTACAAGAAGGTATCTGGAGAGCAGGTTATGTAGTAACTACTGCCATTGAGGTCTTAAAAGCAAAAGCCCCCGCTGGCCAGATGGTCAGCACAACAGGCTGAACTGCATGCCTTAATTCAAGCCCCCACCATCAGCAAAAGCAAGAGAGCCAACATCTACACCAACTCCCAATATGCCTTTGCTACTGTACACATTCATGGGGCAATCTGCAGGGAAAGAGGTCTCCTCACTGCAGCAAGAAAAGGAGCCAAAAACAAGGAAAAAAAAAATTAAAACTCCTCAAGGCTGTCTGCCTCCCCAAAAAAGTAGCAATTCTGCATTGCAAAGGACACCAAAAGGGAAACAACCCTATAACACAGAAATATTGGCTGTAAAATAAAGCAGCAGCCAGGAAAGAAACAGGTAAAGCTCCTTCCCTCCCCATGGCCCTAATGCCCCCAGTGGAGGCCCCTCCACCCAAGTGCACTGGAAATAAAGGACTGGGCTATGGCTGAAGGAGCTACCCTAACCGAGAAAGGGTGGTGGATGCTGCCTGACAGATGCATCTTTGTCCCAACTGCATCCAGAAGGCATTTAGTCAGCAAATACCATCGGCTCACCCACCTAAAAAAACTGCACTGAAAGCCCTTCTCAAAAAAACAATACTACATCAGCCAGTTGCCACATTATGCCAAGCAATAACTGAGCAGTGCATGACTTGCGTCAAAAATAACGCTCAATCTGCACCACGACCCCTGCCAGGTGTCCAAAAGGCAGGAGTTTCCCCTTTTAAAGACCTTAAGATAAACTTCACAGATGTCCAGCCAAGCAGAGGACTCAGATACCTCAGATACTCCTAGTGATAGTGTGTACATACTCTGGGTGGGTTGAAGCCTTCCCAACCAGGACAAAACAAAGCTAAGAGATAGCCAAAGCCCTCCTGAGAGAAATTGTGCCCCGGTTTGGCATACCATCTACAATTCACAGACAATGAACCTCCATTTGTAGCAGATGCAGTACATATTTTAACTAAATCTCTCAACATTACCTGTAAACTCCACACTGCATACAGGCCACAGAGTTCAGGGAAAGTACAGTGAATGAATCGCACCTCAAGGGAACCCTAGCTAAGTCCTGCTAAGAAATTGGCTTCCCGTGGCTGGACCTACTGCCCCTGGCCCTCCTGTGTGCTCGCTGCACACCCGGAACTCAAGGATTTTCCCCTTTTATATTAGTGTATGGACACCACTGCACCCCCCGCCTCCTCCCCACCACACACCTGGGTCTAGGAAGCCTTCCAGGGAACTTACACCAAATAGGAGATAAGGGAGTGGAGGAACAGCTCCAAGCCTTAGGAGCCACCCCAAATAAGCTACAGCAATACACCATAAAGAAAGCCCCAATCTCCTTAAGGACCTCAGTATGTTCCTTCGAGGCTGGGGACTCAGTCTGGGTCAAAGATTGGAAAAGGGACTCCCTCAAACCTCAGTGGACTGGCCCCCACATTGTTGTTCTAACCACTCCTACTGCCCTCAAAGTTGCAGGCATCACTCCATGGGTCTATCATTCCAGAGTAAAAAAAGCCCATCATCTGGACGAAGAAACACACCAGTGGAAGGCCCAGCCAGAGCCCCAGAATCCTCTCCGCCTCCACTTCCGCCTCTGCTGATTACCCTCTGACTAATGAACACCTGTGCACCGTGGATCCTGGCCTTCACAGGAGTGGAATCTCTCATCCTAGGCATTAAATTCTCTGCCGCTGTCCCCTCTGACTAGACTGTTCCTCAAAAGTTGCCCTTTCTATGGTCTATTGAGTAATCGTAGGTTGTTTTGCTGTGCTTACCTGTCTCTCCTAGCTGAACTCAAGCCTCAACCTGCAGTTCCAAAATACCTCTATTAAGTTAACTGTACAAAAGTTATAAAGTGCATAGTCATCACCCAAGAAAGCTGCCTTCAGTGGCCTTCCACCCTTACCACCTGTCCTCTCATACTCAAATAAGCCAGCCTGAGTGTAATGCTCAGCTGCATAAGAATAAATTAGGACTGAGAAAAGCTGGGTATTTTTTATTAAGCACAGGCTTATCAAAAGTCTGAAGGACTTATTTCAACTTGTACACACAAGGCCCATACAGATAAATGCATAAAAACATCATCATTTGTGTTCTTCACAAAGTACTCAGGGCTTGGATGAAAAGTCACACACATACAAAAAAATCCTAGCTCAAAGTGGTTAAAAGTATGAACACAAGCCACTATGTCCCTATCATAAACAGACAAAATGATGCCCCCTAGAATGAAGTGTTTAAAGGGGCATCAGAGGGGGAGTGATAAGGAAAATATTCAGCACAGCTATCAAGGTCAGCACACCGCTTTCTTCTCACTCCCCTGGGCTCCTCTTTCACCCTACTTGCTGTGCATGCTGAAATGCCACCTAACAAAAAAATTATAAATGGCTCCCCTTGCTTGTGCTCGGCGCTCAGACCTTGGGAGATTACTCCCGTCTGAGCCCACGGGTGTGAAATAAAACTCAGCTCTCCAAGACCTCCGAGTGCCGCTTGGTTCTTCTGTCAGCGATCCAGCCCAGGTTTTCAGTTTTTCCGTAACACTCTTACCTTAGAAGTGCAAACAGCAATGTTAGCAGGAAGCTGGGAAAACTGCTTCAATTCAAATACATCATGTTCTGCCCATCGGCTCATGTGATTTTCAGCTTTGCTCGATCCAATCACATTCTGGTTTGAGTGAATGTAAGCCACCTCCCGAACGCCATCTAGGAGGTAAGTGAGGGGTCTGAGTGATTCTCATGATGAAGCAATCGGCCCATGTGTAGTCTATCAGCAATACACTAAAAAACTGGTCATGCTCGTTTTGTTTTTAATCAGCAAGAAAAACTTCAGTTTATATGTTCACATCCTAATGTTCTTTTAAAAAAAAAACAGAGAAGAGAAAACATTCAAATATGTTGGTCTAGGTTGCAAATGACTTTCCCCCCCGTCAATATGAGCACTTCAGAGATTAGGTAACAATCTTCAGATTTAAACTGAAGGATTTTGACAAGAGAAAAGTCATAGTGGAGGGCTGCCTCTGAATTTGTTGTCTCTGTTGATTGAAAAAAAATTGTTTGCTAATTTAGCCCTCTCTGTTCCTTGAAGCCTGTGGTGATGACAGTGATGGGCGGGAGCATGGAGGTCATGACTGGGGGGGGGGGGTTTGTTTGTTGACTTTGTTCGTTTTTACTGTTTGTATTTTGTCTTTTTTGTACATATGCCCATAGAATGTCAAGATTGGGAGCTTTTTAGAATATGAAAAAAATTAACTTACAGCTTTTATCTGAAAGAACTTTAAAAAATGGCTTTGCTTCTAGGCACCTATAATTTACTTTTAAATTGTGGTCATAAAAGAGAAGGCTGGAGCTGAGGTCTGAACAGTTCCCTTAAACAGCTCAGGCAGTGAACCTCAGTTAACAGCCTCCAACACTTGGGCAGTTTCAGTCCTGAACGTCTCTCAACAGAACTGCCAATCATGAGAGAGTAAGATGTTGTTGGATAAGATGACCAACAAGGCAACTAAGATAATATTCTCCTTAGACTTCAAAACACCAAGGAGGAATTATGGCAACAGCTTAATAACTTCAGAGGATTTCTCTGGTGAAAAATTTACTTGTTTTTCTTCATTTTGATGACACATTTTATGCACTCTTCAGCATAGTATTGTTACACACTAACTACTGACACCTTTTGAGGAGTAAAAAATAAAAACAAACCAACCCAAAATTCAGCTGATCTTTAAAGAACAGCTTATGCAATAGGTTCCTCATGCCTAAAACTAACTGTAGTACATGGGCCAGCATCCAGTTCTTAGTTACAAGATCACCAAAACATGCATCATCACAAACATTTTTCACTGAAGTATAGTTGATACACATAATCAGCTCTTAAAAGAGACTACTAATGGCCACAAAAGAAAGCTTGACTTTAGGTAAATTAAACACAGTGATTAAAACTTCAAAACATGCTTGCTTTTATATCAGCTTCTGTTATGTAGATTTTTGGGAATGAGTCAGATGCTTTCAAAGAAATGCTAAGTCTTAAAATCACCAAACAGATTCTTGGCAGATGGTGGTGGCACGGGAAGCAGCTTTTCGGTCTCTCTGAATGGCTACGTGGGAACAGACAGCAACTAGACAGAAAGACCAGAGCTCTGGGCAACACAACAAAACAAGATGATAAGATACCCCACGAGCCCCAGCCCCAGCCCTAGCCACTATACAGAAAAACAGACATGGATATCTGTGAAATTAGATTTCCCAAATTCTGTCTCATTTAAAATTTAAGGGAAAATAACTTCTGTAAAAATGAGGAGAATCAAATCTCATAAAAATTATTGTAAGAGGAAAAAGAACAAGAAGAATAACATACCTACAAATAAAAATAAAAACCAGACATGCACACACAACAGGTTAAAATTGTAGCAGATTTCAAAATGAGGTTAAAAACCTTTAAGAAAATGATAAAATACAGGACAAAACAACATAAATCAGAATTACAATAACTCGGAAATGAGTGTCAGGACTCACAAAAGACTTAGAAATTAAAAAAAAATTATCACATAAAGGAGGACTAAATTAGAAAAAGGAATAAAAACAATAGATAATGCCTTAAGAGAAATAGAAGGAAAAATTTAAAAAGTGAAAAGAAAAAAGAAATATAAAGGGATTCGAGAGGATGTGACAAATACCAAAGACAGGCAAAAATCAAACATTTGAGTAACAGAAGTGCCTAAAGAAAGCCAAATCAAATTTGAAAAATACTAGTATAGGAAAGCTTTCCTGAAATAAAAACTGAGTTGAAACTATACTATGAGAATAGTGACCGAGAATAACCAACACTGCTGTGGACTGAATGCTTGTGTCTCCCCAAAACTCATATGTGGAAGTCCCAGTGTGACGGTATGTGGAGGGTGGGGCTCTGGGAGGTAAATAGGTCAAGCAGGTGGAGCCCTAACGAATGGGATTAGTGCCCTAATCAGAGACACAAGGGAGATGATTTCTCTCTCTGCCATGCGAGGACACAGCAAGACAACGACCCCCTGCAAACCAGGAAGAGTGCCTCCATGAGAACCGACCCATGCTGGAACCTCATCTTGGACTTCTCCCCTCCAGAAGAACTGTGAGAAATAAATTTTGTTTTAGCTACTCGGCAGCCTGATCTAAGGCAAAGCACAAGCTAATAAAATTACTGGAAAATGATGAAGAGAAAAAAACCTTTTGGGTATTTAGAAAAACAAACAAACGCATGGCACACTTCATGCCAGAAGAAAATGAAGGCACATATTTAAAATGCTAAGAAAAGTAAGTGTGAGCCAAGGATTTTATATCCAGCAAAAATGACCTGTAAGAATAAAGGACACAAACTATTATCAGTAAGAATCTCAGGGACTATTATTCTCAGGAGCACTTACTGAGGGATCTACTAGAAAATAATCTTTAGACAACAAAATGACAGGAGAGACAGAGGGACTGACAGGCAACACTGAATTTATGGTTATGAAGTCTGAGAGGGGGAATATACAATGTAATGCGTGTATGCTTCGACATTGTAGACACAGTACAGCCACCTTTAGAATGGGGAGAAATGGGAGAACATATGCGACCATACTCCAAAACCCTTAATGTTTTCAGGAATCCTAGTGTGGTAGTACTGGCATCTTTATTCCTTGACTTTTGTGTAATATGGGATAAAACAAGTGAGTAATTATGGGATATTATAATTAAATAATTTCCTATATGCTTAAGAGCCAGGATTACTAGGTGGAGGAAATGGAAATGTGACAGAGAACAGGTCAAGCAAAAGCTTGAGGACCTCAAATTAAGTATTAACGTAAGTGTGGAAGTATCAATATAAATTCATGAAATATTTTATCATCATATACAAATTGCATATATGTATATAAATGTACATATACATATATATGCATGTTAAATACATACATATATACACATATAATATACATATGTATATGTAACTACATGTATATACATATATGCACATAAATAATCTGTCCAAGGAAAAGGTCCAGAAATAAGATAGTAGCAGCAATGATCATTCTTAGCTTTGATCATTTTTAGATCAAGTTGTCTTAAAACAATTTATTAATTAAGTGTTATTAATAACACTTTCATAATTAAAAGAAACCCAAGATTTCTTAGAGAGATGACAGATTCTGGGGCAAAAAAATGTATGAGATGACACTGGAACCTTGTAATACTAGATAGCAATCAGACATCACGTCAAAAGGTCTCAGGAACAAAGATTTCCACTGCCTAAAGATGGGATAACTGAACCTCAACAATATTAACTGTAATAGATTAAGACCCATTAAATGGGTTTGAATCAATTACGTCATACTGATTTTAAGAAAAGAATGGATCATCCTCTGAGGATGATAGGGAATCTATTTACTAAAAACTGATGAAGAAAGGAATTAAGTATTTTTCCTGCCTTCTCCATATGAACTGAATCACTGGGGAAGTAATAGTAGATGAGTAGAGGTATCTCTTTATAGAAGCATTTTAACAAATGAAAAAGAAAGAAGTGAAAAATATCATTTTGCTACTGTGAATGAATAAACAGGTACAGGCATTAAGCATCAATGGCTGCCAAGATCATCTGTGCCTCCCACAGTCTTAGCAGACACTAACTTTTGTCTTGTCAGGGAAACTGAACCCAAGTTTGATACAGTCTCAGGAGCCAATTGCTCATGTCCAGAAAAGCGTAGAGGACGGAGGAGTATGTTCAACTGCATCAAGAGTACATATAATCAGCAAAATGCAAATTGAGGAAAACTCAGAGATGGCCCAGGTTCTTCAACAGATAAATCATGAGAAAATGAAAGCGATGGGAGAGGAATCCTATAGATTAAAAGAGACTACATAAACATTTTTCAGAAGTGGGTAAGACTAAACTATCAGGCCTAGGGATACACATTTGTGTATTCCATAAAAATGCAAAAAATACTACAAAAGTTACAACAGTTAGTATTTATGGGGCACTGCTGGGGGGGGGGTCTTTGGATAGGGGACAGTTATCTTGGCTGAGGAGATTCTTCCTTTATCCTGTCACCTGCTTCCTCAATGTAACGTCTTGATTGTAGAACTATTTTTACAAGCTAATTGAAGAATCTCTTACAGAACTATTAGCACAAAACAAATACATAAAGTTTTCAGAATGTATCGATAGTTACCTAAGAATTTATCCATTGATTCATACATCTGTTCTTGATTGACAACTCTCTCATTTGAAAACTTCATTAGTTTTCTTGGTCTGAAAGTGCTATTTTTCTTATGGCTAGGCAATTTTGAGGAGAAACTTACTCTATCTTTTATAGTTTTTGGTCTATGGTTCTGTTTAGAGAAACTGATGTGGCTAACAGATAAATCATCATCTGAGGATGAAAAGTTATCAACAGCCTGAGAGTTACAATTTTCATCTGTTGTACATAGTTGGTTTGCTTTCTTCAGTGTTTTAGGAAAAGTGGAAAGTTCCATTTTACTTTCTATTTTTCTTTTAAACCTCAAAGAACTAGTAGCCCTTTGCTTTCTTACTCTTGACTCGGAGGGAATTTCAATGTCATCAGACTCATCACTAATATCACTACTGCTATTTCTTTTCACAGATTTCAGGGCCATGTTCTCAGAATGTAATTGTTTTGAAAGTAGTCCATTTCGTTGGACATCAGGCTTTCTATCATCACCAGTATTTCTTATTTTCACATAGTTTTCTGTTACAGGATCTTCAGATCTATCCATGGACGGCTTACACTGCACACCATTCGTAGAGAATCCCTGTGTTGTATACTGTGTGGGAAAGATGACATCACTGTCTTCTGATTCTGTGACATCCCCTAAACTGCAGTGGTGATCAGCTGCATTTTTAAAATTTTTCTCGCCATCAGATTCAGAAGAAATATTCTGGTCTAAAATCTCACTTTTATTAAAATCATATTTTTCACTTGGATTTAGGATGTTAGCTAATTTCTGGTATTCTTTAATACCAAGGGAGTCGTGGCTTTTCTGACAACGAGCATCTTTGGCTTCTGTTGAAAGGCACGTGGGCTGTTCATCAGAACTTTCATCAGAGGCAGTATTTCCATCACTGGCCTCAACAGCTTCACACTCTGTCTCAGACAACTTGGAGAAACCGCACTGGAGTAAGGAAAGCTGTCCGGGAGAGCCCGCAGCTCGACGTGCACCAGGTGCTTCCTTCCTCACAGCCTTGACCCCCGAGTCTCCCAGCGGTTCCTCATCGCTGAAGTCACTGCAGGGATCATGCCCGTCTTTGGCCAGCAGCTCTGGGGGCTGCTCTGGACCTCCGTGTCCCCGACGCTCAGGTTCCCTCAGCTGTCCAGGAGCAATGACAGAAAATGTTACGACAACATCACGGTGAGATGTCAAATCATCACACTGGAAGGGAACTGAATTAGGGCACAAGTGTGTCACTTGATACTTTCTGGAAGTACAATTCATACGCAAACGTAAAGGATTTAACATTACACTTTGGCACACTATTTGCTCTTTTCAAGTTGAATACTTTCCAAAACAAATACGTTTAAGTGAGAATACCACATGATCAAATTATTTATAAGGAAAATACAGAGCAGAGTGGTCAGCCTCTCAGATGCAGGAACCAATTCCTGGACTCAGAAGAGAAAAGTATACAACTTGCTTTCTGCAGTCCAGCAGATTCTTGAAATACGCCTTAAAAAATGTGTAGGAGTTAAAGAATTCACAACGCGACAACATAACTACTGATTAAAAATAAGATCTGATAGGATCATGACCACAAGACATTCAGAAAATACTGAAGATGTTTTGAAGTAAAAGTTGCTACAAATATAAACTCAATATTTATTTTCTCATATCAATCAGAGCTAAATACATCCTTCAGTTTCCTAAAACTAAGGCTTCATTAGTAAAAGATTTAGAGAATGTATCATCCAGTAATACTTCTGTCAACATTTGATATGCAGGTATTTCTACAGAGAAAAATATTCATCCCATATTTCAAATCATTGGGTACAAATTTATAGTTAAATTGCTAAAAATGAACAAGAAAAACAGGCAACAATAACAAAAAACTTTCAACACATATTCTTTACTTTTAAAAAGGCCTTAGGATGACAATACAGATTTTGTAGTATGTGACATGACAAGCTACTGAAAGGATCCCAAGATCAAGTACTCACATAAAATATCTGCTTAAGTCAGGTTGACTTTGATGTTTGGATTTAGTAATCATAAACACACAGATTACTATTTTTCCATTTAATTTATTGTTTAGTAAAAATTATTTATTTAGGTTGGATCGGTCCCCTATATAAGGACCAATATTTTTTTAATGCAGTAGAAATTTTTTTAATATATAGGTGTTGGAGGCAAGGTGACACTTATAAATTGGATATCACACTCAGTGAGACACCATTTATCATGTACTAGCACTGAACATGGTGTGATCTCTAGTAATTGCATGTGAGATCACATATTAGACCCCATTTAATTTTGGATGGACAGTTTGGTATAGCTGAAATTCCAGTTTGGATGTAAATGCCTGATTTCTGCTCATGAATTTGTTATGATATGAAATGTTAAATTAACCTAAATTATTAATTTCACTGACAGTCTTCTAACTTTGTGTCCTTGGATTTTTTAAAAAGATTTTTTTCTTTACTCATTGAAAATTGAGAGAGAAAGGAAAAGAAACTTAAGATGGTCATGGCACGTGTTGTCCGAGTTCCACGCTACAGACACAGGAGCTGCTCACCGTTCCCGGGCTGTGCACTGGAGGCTCCTCTTTCAGCCATGTTGTGGCCGTCAGGACCCCCGCTTCCACTTGGCCTTCCCTCTAGAGAATGCAAGTAACTGAGTAAAATACGGGGTAAAAACCAGATAAACAGCAGCAATGTACACTAAAACCTGGGGTTGGGAAAGGAAAACTGAGTGCAGCTTGCTTAGTTCTCCTATTTTTCAATTTGCTATAAGGACTCACATGCAGTTTACAGAACATTAAAATTCTCCTAAGTCGCAGGTAGTGGAGAGGCACAGCGGGAGCAGCAGGGCCTGGCACACACTCTCACTTCTTGCCTCAAAGCTGACTTTGCCAGAGTGAAGACGAGTACTGCTTTGCAGCCAGCTCCACAGAAACGTCACATGAGGCTGGGGGGAGACTGAGAAATGCCATGGATTTGCTCAATAATGATACATAAGTACCTAATAGTAACCATGTCTATGCAATATTTATAGGAAGCACATAATATCAACATTTCAAACACCACAGATAATGTGGAGTGTTGGGAACTGCACAATCTAGTCTATATTGCTAGTATATTTATTTATTATTCATATTCATTTAAACACTTTCACTGATTCCTTCTGCATAGTAGGCATCAAAATGAAAAAGTCCATCTAATATGAAACTAAAAAACTCTTTAATTATATAACAGGCTTGCTACATCTTTTGGGAAACTATTTAAGTTCTTAAAACTTTTGGTATACCATTTAGCAGAGGTATTAATGGCCTAGATTGTAGAATATTAAATTCTCCTTTAAAAGGAAACCAGCTTATTTCTCTTTTTAAGGCTTTCTTTGTTACCGGGAAAAGGCACAGTGGTACTGCCAGGCCAGTTACCAATGCCCGATTCAGGGGGACACGGACACACCAATGGTCCCAGCTGCTTGGTATTTGGGCAACAACTGGGCATCTCCTCCGCAGAACCAGAGAATTACAAAGAGCTCCTGAGCTGCCATGAGGTCCCTTCTCCCGGGGCCTTGGGACGACCACGGGCCGGGGTGGGCAGTCTCCTTCCCGGTCCTGCCTGTATCTCCTCAGTGGAAGCCCAGGGGCTGCGACAGATGCAACCGACAGTGCCAGCAGCCGTCAAGCTGCCAGGACCCCGCTGACAGGGGGCGGCTACTCTGGTCTGAGCACCCTGGAGTCAGGCTCGTCTCAGACCCCATACCGGACCCGTCAGCAGCCAGTTGCTGCCCCCGAGTCCTCGCCCTTCTCCACTGCCACTCCGGCCCAGACCACCATACCCAGCTGGACTGCCACAGTGTCCTCCCCGGTGCCCTGCCTCTGCTCAGTACTACAGCCTAAGTCCCTGGGTTCAGTCCGGGGAACACAGAGCAGACCGCGTCTCTGTTCGCTCAGAAGCCTCTGGGCTGTAAGTTGAGAACAGCAGTAAGAGTCCGAGGCGCACGGCCAGCCTGCTTGCCCGGAGCGCTCCGCGCACAGCCCTTTCGGCAGCGGCAGCCCTCAAACCCGTGCCCGCCTCCAGGGAGAACCCCGTGTGCCAGAACGGGGGGGCATTTCACGGCATGCCATACTGTAAGTTCTGTCTCAAAGTCACAGCCACAGTTCCGCATGATGGGGCTTCCTGTCGTCTCTCTGTCACCACCTTTTGCTCTCTTGATCTTCACTCCGGCCATTCTGGCCTCCCTGCCATTTCAAAATTGTGCTGGGCAGGCTCCTCTGTGGAAGCAAATCTCCCCCTCGTCTCTCCAAAGAACCAAGGCCACTTCACAGCGAGCACTTCCCCGGCCACTCCACCTATGACTACAATGCTGACAGCCTCTCTATGTCTCCTGTCTGCGCTGTTCTATACTGAGATATAATTCACACAAACACTGTGTACACGCAGGGTGTGCGCTGCTGATTTGACACACTTGTATACTGCAATATGTAACCACCTGAGCTTTAGGGGACACCTTTGTCACATAATTATCACTTCGTTTTTGTGGTGAGATCATGTAAGATCTACTCCCTCAGCAATTTTATATATATATATAATACAGTTTATAATATAGTACTGCCGGCTATAATCACTACACTGTGCATTAGATCTCCAGAACTTATCTTCTACCTGTTCCATTTCTATCCTTAGAACCTATCATCGTCATATACTATATGCTTCACTTATTTTTTATTACTTGTCTCCCCCAAACAGACTATACATTTTTTGTTGGGTAGGATTTTTATTCATTTCTCTATGCCTAGCTCTGTGATGTACAGGACCTGATATTTAGCATATATTCAGAAAGTATTTGTGAAGTCAACTCTCAATATCTATCTCTAAAGGGAAACCATGATATAGACAACAGAAAGTCAATGCAAAATACAACTAAATTGCCCCAAGTCATCACATTAAAAGTGTTCTATAAATTCAAATTTCTATATCTTAAAACATTTTAAAAGGGGTTTTCTACAACCTTTAAAAACTAAAAATATAGTACAGGGAATAAAATACTTATTTTATAATATGTGCTTCCATTATACAGCACTTGGAACAATCATATTTTAAAACATCACCTGGCCAAAAACAGCATGCATTTAATGAGGCCTGAATAAAGTTGGATCCTCTTGGTAACAAATGAGCAATTTTAATTCAAAATTTCATCACTGAATGCTGATAGTATGCCTGGCAAGAACTTAAGTACTTTTTACTGCAAACAAAATATAAGATGTGGAGGGTCCTGCCACTAATAAACAACCCTGGAGGAAAAACAAGATACACTTAGGACAATGAGAGAGCAAGAGAACTTTCCGTATGACTTAACATACTGCTTACTTCACACTTTAACAGCGGAATAGGTGGCTGCTCTGACAAACTAGAGCACTGAACTATTTAATATATGGCAGAAGACAGGACAAGTCATACAGTGCTAATACGTTTTGTGGATAATGATCTCAGATTAGAAACATGAGTACAGGCTGGAGGTGGGGTGGTACTCTGAGATGGAGGCAGGATCTGAGGGGACCTGGAAGGCAAAAATGCTGCTAATTACAGAAGAGGAACTGGGGGAAGGAAGTCCGTGAAAACAGCAGCATATTCAATAGAAAAGACAGAGAAAGGGGACCTTTAAATGGGCCCCTCAATTTAGAATCAAATAGTTACTGTAACAGAGAAACTCAGCTGTGAACATAAGACATTGTATAATAGTCGTAATATTCATAGGACACAAATAATATATACCTTCTTCTTCCCCATCCATCAGTGATCACTTTGAAGTGCCACAGATCTTGCTTAACATGCTCACTAATGGTAGTGCTCATTATGTAAGTGTTCCCTTCCGCCTCCCATCACGATGGTGTAAGTTAGGACAGGGACCAACTGTTCCTTGAACTGTTTTTAGGGTACTTACTAAATAAATGACCTACATGAAAGTTTTACTGAAAAGTCCTGGAAGTTAAGAGAAATATCCTTAAGTTTCCTAGGACTCAGTTCCCTCATTTTTATGATAAGGAGGTTAACAAGGACAACAGTCCAGGACTTCATGATGCTCATGTCAACATCAACTAGAAAATAGGTTAATAGCCTTAGTATTCTGGTGTATTAAAGAATTTAAAAGATTTTTTCAAAGGATATAAATATCTTGTTTGAAGAATAAGAAACATCTGTATGCTGAGGATGAACACAAGTGGGAGAGTTTGAAATACTGGTGTGGAATTTTTATTGGGAACAGAAAACAAAAATCTCCATGAAACATGAGAGTGCATCTCAGGGAGTATTTGGTAACTTTTAATCAAAACACATTTACAATTTTTGTTTTATTTAGGAAAGTCTCTTTTTAGTTCTTGATTTCAACAGCTATTTTAAAAAATGATACATTTTTCTCTGCCAGTCTGAAAATGGCCCTGGAGGTCACACTATCTAGTATATGTGCATATCTAGTATATGTAGACATCTAGTGTGTGTGCATTATTTATTACTATATATGAGAAAAATCTTAGTTTAAAAGTACAATAATACACTAATGCATTTCTTATTTCTCTAAAAGTAGAAATTCTCAATACATGGCATTTTTTATAACAAAAACCAAACATTTCTCTGAAAAGGCACCAGAAATTATATTTCAAGATTCCTAAGGGAGAAAAATGTGTTTAAAATATTATTGAAAAGGTCAGAGAACAATTTCACACCTCCAGGATGTCCCTGGTAAGACAAGAGCCTTGGGACCGTAGTCTGAAGAGGTTACAGACCCCAAAGAGCTCTCCTCGATGCTGTTTTGATCCTTGAACTGCTTCAAAATATCGCTTGGCATTTTCGCTTCCAACTACCACACAGTGAAGTTGCTAAAACAGAAAAAACACAAGATATTTTTGAAGTGTTTGCTCCAACAATATGTCAGAATTTCCTGGCATTCCCCATATATACACAGCTTTAGCTGGAGCAGGCAGAATCTCCTTAGGGAGGAAATTTTATTTTCATTTCCCTGGCAGATGTTGCCATTATGGTGAAACGATAATAATCTGGCCAGTGTTACTGAAGAGGAGAACTGACATTCCCTATTTAATCTGTTTTCTACCAACTGAGTCAAGATTATATCTCCATGAAACACCCACCTGATATAATATGTCTAATAATAAAGGCATACATCTGAGTACGCATTTCTCCTTCCTAGACTATTATTACAATAGCAACTACTAAAACTGACAAAAATAACCACCATATAACCAAAATTAGATTATGATCTAAAATAATTGTATGCTAAACCTGTGGGTGTCAAAAACTCAATCACTGTTTAGAAACATTACATCTTTGAAACAATTTTGAATGCAGAAAGAACACTGACGTGGAACCTGTGAGGCCATATAACACTTTAGTATCAACATTAATGTGTTTTTATTTACTGGAAATTTTACTAAATATTATGTAAATACAATCTGATCAACCCCATGTATACTTTAAAATTTCTTGGCAGAAACAAAACAAATGCACAGAAGGGAAAATAACTTCAGCCTAATGTTGATGGAAGGATTAGTAAGAAGTAATACTCTTGTGATTATCATCAGAGTTGATTTGCACTGCAATACATCACTCAAGGCAATGAAAAGAATTCTTAATAATAGCTGCTATTTATTGAACACTTACTACATGTGTGCCATTTTTACATTCTTGCATTTAATTCCTACAACCCTAAAAGATATCATCTCCCTTTTGGAAGGAACTTAAGTTTAGAGAAATTGCTCATTAGATGCCCAGCGTGGAAGTTATTTCTAGAAATATTCTTGGGTTTGGCTGAATGCAAAATTTACACTGTAACATCTCTCACGTCCAGAACATCCCTCTCAAAACAAGACCCTTGGGGCCTCAGTTTGAAGAAGTCATGGATCAACATACTGACCTGATCAGGTCTGATAGCAGTGTCCCAGAAACATGAGCTATAGTCCTGGAAATATGGAACCACAATAGCAATTAATGTACCTGACGGCCCAGGCACCTGGTGGCTCTGCCCTTGCTGGTGCCACCTTCAGCACTGTGCTGTCAGACTGCAGGGACTAGACAGAATGACCAAGTGATGGGTGGGCATTCATCTGAATCTCTGTAAGTTTCCTACAACAGCTTTACCACAAAACTAACAAAAGGCACCTCATTTTGTATTTATAATCTTTCCCAAAATGGCTTCAGTAAAAGTGAAGGCCAGATGCATCCACCTGTAAACTAACTATAGAAAAACATTAGAATTCAAAAGAGTAGAGAAAAAAAATCAGGAATTGGGAAATGTAGCTTAAGAAAAACTCATACAAGGATACGAATGCTTGCATTTCTTCTCAACAACTTACAAGATATGCAAGATGTAAAAAGAAAAGCAGGAATGGTCACATGTTAAGATCTCATGAGCACTTCCTCCGCCTTCACGGCTGGTAGTGTGGCACCTTTGTATCATTCTCCAGACCTGCTTCTGCCCTAGGAATCTCTTCCTCTTTCTCTGAGCCTCCTGCCCATCCCCTCCCTTTATAAATATCATTGTGATTACTTGGGGCCCACCCAGATAATCCAGGAGACATTGCCAGGAAAATGGGTGAAATCTGGATGGGTTCTGGGATCACAAAGTATATTAATGTTTGTTTCTTGATTTGGAGTCAGGAGGGAAAAAAGAAGTTTCAGAATAAATGTAAAATGGAGTGTTTTATAATGCATAAGACTTTTTATGTGTACATGTAAAAAACAGTGTCCTTGTTTTGGGGAAATATACACAAGAGGACTTAGAGGTGATAAATCTGTAACTTTCTCTCAAATAGTTCAGAAAAGGAATAAATAAAGATCATGTCTGAGAGAAAGATACAGCAGATGTGGTGAAATATGAACAGCTGGGGAATCTGGGTGAGTTAATTGGGAGTTCTTCATGCTGTTCTTGAAACTCTTCTGTAAAAATGATTTTTAAATGAATTATATTTTTACAAATTTAATTTACATTTAAATTCTCTCTATATAATTTCACATACATTTTAAAGATGAATTTCTGAATGTCAAACTTTAGATTACATGCAATGCTCCAAATATTTAAGGAGTCAGTTGCCATATAAGTCACGGTTTCATTTTTAAAAAGTATAAACTATCTGAATGCACTATCACCAAATGCCAACAAAAACGTCAAAGTTAAAGTCCCTGTTGAACAGTACAGATCACCATCAGTATAACCCACACTGTAATGTTTATGCGTATCCTTCTAGATTTTTCTCAATGTACTTAGAGCTATTTACATATACATAAATAGTTTTATATATAAATACAGTTGATATACTTGTTCTGCAAGTTTTTTGCCCCACTTAAAAATGTCTTAGAGATCTTGCCACATCAGTACATTTGCTCTATAATCTTTTTTTTTTTTGCTGCTGCAGAGTATCCTATAATATGCATTTGTCAGAATTTATGCTATCATTCCATTACTTCTGGACTTTTAGGCTATTTCTTTTTTCACTTTTTCAACAAATATGAACAGTACTGCATGTGAGTCCTTGCCATCCTTCACTATGTGTATGTGAGAGAGGAGGAAGGTGCTGTTTTAAAATGCTGTTAAATTAGCTCTAAAATAAGTGTACCGAGTGTATTTTGTATTCTAAAAAATAGTATATGAGTACCTCTTTACAAATATCACCCCAACAAGAAATGGCACCAATCTCCCCACCTTCCTAAAAAAAGACCCCTCAAAACAAGTCTTTTATAGAATCTGCAGAATGTTATTTTGTATTTCTGAAGTATGAATGTGATTATCTTTTCACATACGTGTCAACCATTTGTACTTTTTCCCTCAGTAAATGCCTAATCATAGTCTTTTTGCTGGTTTGTGGGAGTTCCTTATATACTGTACATGCTAATCCTTCATTATATTTATGGCAAATACTTCCTTCTAGTCTTAATTTAGCTTGTAGTTCTTTTGTCATACAGAAGTTTCATAGAAAAATATAGTCAATTATATGACATTTGCATTAGAGGATGTATTAGTTTCTTAAAGATGCTGTAATAAAGTACCACAAACTGGGTGGCTTAAAACAGAAACTTATTTTCTCACACTTCTGCAGACTAAAAATCTGAGATCAAGGTGTCAGCAGGGCCATGCTAGCTATGGTCCTGTGAAGATTTTAAGGGAAGGTCCTTTCTAGTGTCCAGTGGTTGCTGGCAATCCTTGGTATTCTTTGGTTTGCAGCTGAATTCCAGTAATATGGTGTTTCCCCTCTGGTCCATATCCACAGGATGTCAGGCATTGGGTCAGGGCCCACCCTCATCTAATATGACCTCACCTTGGCTACATCTGCAAAGACCCTACTTCCAAATAAGAGCCCATTCACAGGCACCAGGGTCAAGGACTTCAACACATTGAAAAAAAAGTTTTCTTGGCTGGTGGGAGGAGTACAATTCAACTTTTAAGAGAGGCTTTGTCAAAGATTTTACATTTATGTTCATGAGAGATTTTGATTTATAATTTTCTGTTCTTATAATACATTTGTCCAGTCTTGGAATCAGGACTTTCCCATCTTTCTAAAGTAAGTTGGAAGTGTTTCCTCCTCTTTTCAAAAAGATTATTAAATGTTTGACAGAATCCACTGCTGAAGTGATATAGACTAGGATTTTTGTGAGAAAGTTTTGCATTAAAAATTCACATATTTCCTTGCCAATACAATGCTATCATTTTCCCTCATTTGAATTAACTACTCCTAAGTGTCCTTCCATAAATATACTAGTGAATATATCTTATTCACGAGTAAGAAATAAGATGTCTATCTAATTCTCATATTATGGTAGGTAATGTTTTTTTCTCTCTAGAAAGTATCTCTAAACATTTTATGGATTTTTCACTTTATCCTTGGTGTTTCAAAATTATAGAAAGACAGTGTAAGTGTGGCTCTACTTTCATTTATCCTGTTTAACACTCAGTGGGTCCACATAATCTGGACTCTTTTTCATTTTCCTTCATGTTTATTCCTTTATTTGGGGTTTCTTCCCTTCTTTCCCTTCTGTTTCCTTTTTCAGCTACAAGGCTGATATTAGAACTTCTAGATTTAGCCTTCATTTCCCCTAACTTTTCTTACATGTGTTCTTGTTTTGTGATCTAGAAGAATTGCTTGGCTCTTTTAGATGAAAACTTAGCTCTTTGCTACTTAAATGTGAGCCACTTAGGGAAGATTCAGCTGTACAGTTTGGTAGGCACAAATAAAGGTAAGATGGCAAATGTTTCTATTGTTTCTAGAACCCTACAACTTCACTTATCTTTTGAAAAATATTGTTCATATTTCCTTAAAAATCTCTTCTACTCTTTTCTATTCTGTTTTCGCTTGCTAATTCTGTGGTTTTTTTTTTTTTTTTGAGAGCCTGTATTAGTTCTTATGGCTCTTGTTAACAAATTATCATAAACTTGATGCCTCAAAACAACAGGAATTTTGAAACCCTGTGCTGAAATCAAGGTTTGGCAGAGCAGTGATCTCTCCAGAGGCTCAAAGGGAGAACTTAGTCCTTGCCTCTTTCCGCTGTTAGTGGCTGCTGGCATTCCATTGCTTTAACCACACCACTCAGATCTCTCTACTTCTGTGGCTTTACTGTCTTCTTATTTGTCTGTGTCAGAGTTCCCTGCTTCTTTCTTACAAGGACACTTCTCATTTAGGGCCCACCTGAATAATTCAGATTAATCGCCCCATCTCAAAACACTTAATCTAGTATTACCCACAAAAACCCTTTTTTTCCCCCACAAAAAGTAACATTTACAGGTTCCAGAGATTAGGACCTAATATCTTTAAGGACCATTTTCATAGTGTTTATTTTCCTAAACTGTTCAATAATTATTTTTCATTGGTTATGCATCTGTCTTCAAATACCTTACATGCTGATTTCAACATACTGCATTGATTATTCAAAGTGAGGGGAAGGTGTAATTATTTAATCTTCTGGGCAATGGGAGGGGCTTTCTTCTCAATTTTACAAAACTCTGGAGCTCTGTCTTGCTTCTTTTCTTCTAGTATTTCTACTTATTGTTTCTACTTGTGAGCAGACACTTCTGTTGGATGTAATTTGGTAGAACTGGGGTAAAACTGTAATGGTTAAACCACCTTGTTAAGATCATCAATGATGCCCTAAAGAGGGGGCACGACACTCTCCTGAGGCGCCTTTCTTTTTCAGTATCTGCTGCCTCTAAACTGAGAATATCCAGTTTAGCTTGGTTCCTTCAATCTGATTTCAAATGCCTTTTGTTTTTCAGGGTTCCTTATAACTTCTGGGCCACAGAGAGAACTCTTCTTGTTTTCCAACATTTTTATAGGGTTTTTTTTTAAACATCATTTTTTGGATTTTTTTCCCTAAGAGATTTGAAGAACACTTGGGAGCTACATTGTATATGATGAACACTCTGAACTCGGTTCAAACTCCAATCAATCTCTAAGTCACACTTAGTGCATTTTTCTCACATGACTGCCATCTTATCTTTATTTGTGCCTACCAAGTTGTATGGCTGAATCTTCCCTAAGTGGCTCACATTTAAAAAATATTTTAATAAGAAACTAGATTGTGTAATTTTCTGAAAACTTAATTACCCTCAATTTCTGAAGCCTTTTTATTATATATTATATAACGTGCATTTTATTTCATTGAGTCAGATGAACAAAAGGGAAATGTATATAGTAATGGGATTGAGAAAAATTATTGCATGATTGAGAGGAAAGACTCTTACTTATAACAAGTCTATGACAGTATTCTAAAGAACTGTTCCTAAGATGAAAAAAAAAACTTCCTGCTTTTTTCCAAGTTTGGTTAAATTCTGTAAAAAGTAATTTTCAAGTAGTGTGCTATATACCAAAGATGGCAAAGATGAAAGGTTTCTTACAAAGATAAATGCTTTAAGAAAAAACAATAACTGCTGTTGCAATTCTATCTTTAGAATTAAGAAAAAAGCATAAGTTTAAGACTGGATCATTCTTAGGTTAAATACCACCACATGCGGCAGATGTTTGCTCTTAAATAGATGCCAACTAAATATATAGGGAGTAATTCAAATTTAACATTTATAATTAAACTTGAACCTTATTCCAGATCTTCTGAAGTGAGTAGTTATAAATTAAACTTGGTTTATTTAGAGGCATAAATGGACTAGCATTTGATACCCTAGGAGTATTAAAGAGTTAATGTAATGTTAGATGAACACTAAAACCACACAGCACAGTAGTCAGGGCCGTTGAGTTCTATCTATAAGGCCATTACTAGAGTGTCCATGGGTCCCAGTTTCATTATGTACAACACGAAACAGGTGCACTAGATATCTCTAAGGCACTTCTATATTTTTCATGTCACAGCGCATATAGAAAATGATAACATATGAACATGTACCTGGAGACTTAAGGCTGGAAGCTGATTTAGATAACCCTGCTGCCCAGATAGCTGTGGGATCAATGTCTCAGAGCCACTGCACCCCAACTGTGGTGTACAGTAATGTCTTGGCCCACAGCTTGGGGAGCTGTAACTATGCCACTCAAATTGTGGTCTGTAGGCTAGTAGTGCTGGCACTCCTGGAAGCTTGTCAAAAATGCAGAATCTTGCACTCCACCCAAACCTACTAAATCAGAATCTATATTTTAAAGATCCCTAGGTGATTCAAATGCGCATTAAAGTTTAAGAAGTATTGGTCTAAGAAACTTTCAGCTCTAAAATTCAATGAACCTAAGAATTAATGTTTTATAGAAGTATATTCTAGAGTGTATTTCATAATTTTATTATATTTCATATTATAAATAGTTAGAATAAAATTAAAAACATACTTTTATACAAGTTTGTTCCTAAGCCTTGAAAACAAATGTTTACTTTCTTTTAATTAAAGTATAGTTAACATACAATATTATATTTATTTCAAGTGTATGACATGGTGATTCAACATTAATAGACATTACAAGTGGTCACCACGATAAATGTAGCTATGTCGTGATGATACACAGTTGTCAAGTGTTATTAGCTGTATTTCCTATGCTGTATGTTACATCCTTTTTTTAATAACTGCAAGTTTGTTCCTTTTAATCCCCTTAAATGTTTACTTCTTCATAAAACGGAGGGAAATATATTTACCTGCTTGTACACCTGTCGTAAGTACATGATCTCCTCCACAGTTCCCAAGGATATCAGCCTAAGCACTTTGACATCCCTGCATTGCCCAATTCTATAGGCTCTGCAAAAAGACAAAAAGCAAGAGCAACAGAAATCAAGTGAAACAATTTTGGTTCAGGAGGTGGCTTCTGGACATAACAGGCTAATTTGCTTTGCTTTGCATGCAGCACAGTATTATGTGTATCATAATGGGGGTGATCTTAATAACACTATGTATTATAAGCTGCATATAACTATCAAGCAAATAGTAATGGATAATTTAAATCTCTATAGTTTAAATCCATATCTGACTTGCTTGAATGCCCATAGAGTCTAACAAGATGTCTTTTAAACACTAAATGATCAACAAGTATTTTTTATTTTTATTTTTGTAACATTGAAAAGCAAATGAAATTTCTCCATTAGTTAAAATATCTCCCAAAACTGGGTCTAATAACCATATGAAGTTATAGATTTCTGACTATTATTTCAGTTTCTTCTACGATTATTTGAGTATATTTTTATACTTTATCTTTAGACAATCTTAATCACTTACATTCTTCTAGAAAAAGGCCTTTTTCATGTAGATTTCCAAATGTATTTGTATAAACCTGAACATAAAAATGTTACATTATAAATAAAAAGGTAGTATTTATATGGCCTTTTCACTTCCTAAGCTTTTCTGTGTATCTGCCTTTTTAATTCAGATTAGACTTCTCAAAAGTTTGTTTTACTCTTTTCAATGATTTAAAATTGTTTTTGTTTTTAATAACTTTACACAATTTCTTGTACTTTCCCTATATTTACTTTGTTGCTCTTTTTCTAATTTTCTAAACGATACCCTTTTTTTCACTTACTTTCAGTCTTTCTGAGAAATAAATGCAAAACTCTAACATCAGAACTTAAATAGTGATTCACAGTGATTTCATTTTTTTAAATAGTTTTCTTTCTGTCGAATTTAATCAATTCTTCTCTCTTGACTTCCTCTTTATTGTGGTAAAATATACATAAATTTAAAACTTAATCATTTTTACCATTTTTAAAGGTACAGCTCAGTGACTGTAAATACACTCACACTGTTGTGACACCATACCATTGAACCATCATGACTATCCATTTACATGTTTTCCATCTTTCCCAGCTGAAACACTACGTGTGAAACAGTAACTCCCATTCCCAGCCACAGCCCCTGGCGACCACCATCCTACTTCCTGCCTCTGTGAACCTGACAGGCCTAGTAGGTACAGCATATTAGTGAGATCATATAGTATTTGTCCTTTTGTGCTGAAAACACGCATCCTTTCCTTATTGCTGTTCTTAGAGGAAAAACTTCCAATTTTTTACAATTGAGTATGATGTCATCT